GAGAAGAAATAATCGATTATCAAGGGATTCAAGTAGGTTTTTAAAAATAAATACAATATTATTTCAATCATAACTGATAGTGGGGCCCCCTGTGTCCTAATAGAGTAGATTAAAGGTGGATTTCCAGTCCTCGCACGAAGCTCCTCGCAACTCGCTGCGAATGCTTGCATCTAATTAAAATTAACTGTTTAGCATTGTGATTGGATGAAAGTGCTCATGCGTGCACTCGCAGCGAGCTGCGAGGAGCTTCGTGCGAGGACTGGAAATCCGCCTTAACGTTGTTATTTGCAGCACAGACGTCGACGTCGGACAAACAATTGAGTTTCAAATGAATGCAAATAAACTATATACTATTTTAAGCCCGCAAGAATTGTGGGAATATTCGGACAAACTACTCTTGTGACGTCATTTGGAAAACATGCTATTATGAAAAAGCAGCAAGAATTAATTGACTCAATTAGAGAGTGTCCTATATGTTAAAGTACCCATAAACAGCTCAGTTTGAACGAGAAGGCCAAATTAAGGATGCCTACCGCAAAAACATTTGACTCATAAACCTTAGTAAAATAATGCCATACAATGACTCAAAATATTGATCGGAGTAAAATTGAAACTTTATTCAAAAACTTGAGTAAACTTGCTCATAAATTTGAGTAATTTCTCTCAACATTTTGAGTCATTGTGGGTGCATTATTTTACTCAAGTTCTTTGCAGATATTTTGCAGTGCCACTTTAAAGACGCATCGAACTTGAGAGGAGAATTATAGATCCCACTCGCCGAATCAATCAATCAAATTGGGCAGCCGGGGAAAAAATACTTCCCCCCCCCCCCCACCTGGCTGGGGACAGCTATCTGCGAAATATCCCATGAGTGCGACAGTCTATTAAAAAACATACTGTATATTGCATACAAAATATATTATGACTCATATCTGATCATGGAGATCACCACAGTGAGCTCCACTTATGTATTTGGAGCAAGAACTTCAGTCAATATGGCTGAAATTGAAGAGCTATTGAACGTCAGCTCCAGTCCCTTTCTATTGTTTTTGTCTGCGCGGTTAACACGGCAAGGAGTGTGGCGGAATTTCGTATATTGACATCGATTTAAAGAAAAACACCCTAAGCGATAGAAAAACTGGAATTAGCTGGGAAAATGGTGTTAGAACTGTTTACGACGTTCATAGCTATTACTATTAGACGTCAATTTCCGCCATCTATAGGCTTCACTTTTCTCATAGGCCGAATGACTGAAGTACTTGCTTGAGGTTAGCCGGCGTAGCAGGCGTTTAGTCTTCTCCCGCCTGCACTAAACGCCTGCTAGGCAGAGCTATGATGAAATTGTCAGTTTGGGGTTTATCCTAACCCATCCTGTAAACAATATCCGTCGGATGAAACCTCAATGTGACCCTTTTAAAGCCCACGATTTCACATTTGAAAGACGCTTGCTCCAGCCAAAGCCGTCACCACCCACTCAATGTTCTTATACCAATTAGCTACATGTTTAAGCTTGTTTAAATCCTAACCTTCATCGATTGTTAAAATAGTTTTCATATGCTCGTCGTTAACTTCATATTTGTTGCAAGCCCACCAAGCTAAATAAAATATAAAATAGGATATAAGGAATCTGAGTGAAGATATATCACAGCATCGAATTACCAAAAACATATACAGTATATTCTAAATTGGCATCTGCGTCACCGGTGAAAAGATTAAATATCTCAAATAATTTTTAACAAATTGAAACAGAGGTCGGCATTCGCAAACACCAACGTTCGTTAACAAAAAGCGTTAAAAGCCCATTACAGATTATTCATCAGCAAGTGGTTTAGTTATATAGTTCTTCATTTTCCAAATGAACTGTTATATATACCAAATACTACATTACTAAATAAAAAGGTCCGAAAATAGAAACATGCTTGTAATATCGTGGATGTAATACATAAACAAAATACACAAATTCGTTAAATTCATAAATTGTATACTGAGATGGGGTGGTCCTCAAGACAAGAGGTTTCATCCCCTCTTATAGCTTTATGTCCATAGTCCAAGTCTCAAATTAATAAAATTATACTCTTGCTGTATCATGAGCAGCGACGTGGCTACATCCGCCTAGTACTCCATAATGTTTTCCTTACACCCTTCCTGGTCAATATTTTAATTATGCTGTGTAACAGCACCCTGCATACTATATGTTGCCTCGACCTCTCTGGCCCTGGCAGAGAGCCCTCCTTTCAAGTTCTTGCCTTGTTCAGCTGTTTTATGTCTTCTCGAGTTGGACACATGATTATTATCCGGGTCAGCGCGGGCAAATTTCTGCAGTACCCCTGACCCCCTCCCCCCCCCCTCCTCTCAAAAAGCTCACAGCGAGCTGAACGAAAGACTCGTTGCATATACAGGACAACCAATATACATGCGAGATGGATTGTTTGGTCTATTTACATATATTAAATTTCCTTATTTTGTCAAAACATCTGGACAATTTCAAATAATACATATCAGTGATATCATGCAGAAAATATTTCCTGGTCGCCACCAGGTTGGTGCGGTGACAATTACGGTGAGGGCGGGGGTGCATGGGGTGCTGTATATCCGAGAATCTTATACTATAAAAGGATATGAATACGGTTTTTGAGCACAAAACATTATTAATTTAAAAACAAACAAACAAAATTAGCGCATCTCCAAATATTACTTTTCATGCTTTTTGACAATGTGCCAGCAGACGTTGACCGTTTGATGGTTTTACTGTTTGTTTGAAGAACGTTAGAGTACAGGCTCGAATTGTTGTTTACATTTTTTTGGAACTGGGGCCAACTTTCGGTCTTCGTGGGGAAATTCTAGTCAGCTTTCGAACTATTTGTTTCATATACAACTAATACAAGTACAGTCATTCTATTATCCATACTCTCCACAGTTTCGCAGCAGTCAATTTATCAATACGGTTAGACTTGCTACAAGACGACTCGCATCGTAATGCATTGTAATTTGTCTCGCATTGCATCTCCTTGGCGCGAAAAACTACATGACGGACGGTATGCACTAATTTAAAATTAATTTTCTCACAATGTTTCCCCACAACTATTTCGATTACGCATACAACGCATAAACAAACACGGAAAAGCCATCGATTATAAATTTATAATGCATGGCCAATGTTTAAGTCTGGCTATTTCACATGAAGTCCACGAAGGATTCGAGTCAGTAAAATGTGGCGCGCTCGGCAAGATCGACAAGTTGATTCGACAAAACCCTCATCGCTATTGGGCTCAACCCTGCTGCTAAATAACACGAGTTGACTTGTCTACATATTAACGGTAAACACATATTCGTTTAGCAAAGGGCCTTATAATTACTGGCTCATTTATACAAAATGTATCCTCATCATAGATATCTATGATCCTCATCTTTCGGAAAGCGTGATCAATTTACCTTCACTGCGCATGCTCTAAAATGAATAACGTAAATTTAAATATTCCAATAATTTTTCCAGTGTTTCATCCCATGTAACGCGCAAGTGTCATGCACGTATACTTATACATCGAGACATCAAATTTTTCTTGGCTAAAGAAACTTGAGGAATAGTCAAGTGGTCTACTATAAACCCAACGCCAACGCCAACAGCAGCGTGGCATTGTATTAAATTTGCATCAGTCAAGTCGCATGACCATTATATTCTATCGCAAAGGTTTAATCTGTATAGAAATGAAATGTAATCCTCGCGTGTTACTCCAGGGGTATGATTCATACTCCAAATCTACGCTTTAATAATCGCAAGCATGCAACCACAAATCATTGTTTTTTAATGATCATGACTGCATGTAAAATTTATGTAAACAAAGAGCATCGAAGCATTTGCCGTATGTCATATACCTACATTCATTTTCCTCCTTCAGTTGATGCCCGACGAGTGTTGTGATTTCTGTTAGACTAGACAATTCATCCTCTATCTTAACAGAACCAATATCGTCCTCGGAAAGCACACATTGTTTGTCAGCCATGATTAAAATATAAATGAGAACCATCAATGGACTGAACATAGAGTATTATATTACCGCGGTGTCAAGTGACAATACACCGGCGTTACAATCTATGAATTATTTTGACTGCTGCTTGGCAATGCTTGCCTAAAAAAACTCGGCAACGCGAATTCACGAACAGGCCTTTTTTGTTTCTTTTGGGTATATTTTGTGATATAACGAACAAGTTTGTTGCTATTAGCAAATTTCACTGACGGAAGTATCGGCAGCGTAACAAGAGCAATGCTATTGCGACATTGCCGACTACCAGTTTTCAATTGACCAAGGTCATGGGGAAATTTAAACGCAATAATGATTTTTTCGTGCGGTATACTTCGCATACTTTTGTCTTGCTGTTGTAGGGATACCTAATTTATTTCGTCTTGCAGAGGTGCCTCTACCAACTTGAGGCCACGGCTTGACGGCTGGTTCGAACTCGGAATGCCTCTATATTATATACCTTGGCTTCGCCTCGGTTGTCAATAAACTTTCCGGTATTTGGATAGGACTCATTAATATTCGATAAAATATATGAATAAATTATTTATGAGTCGGCTTCGCCTCGGACTCGAAACAACTGACGACTTGAAATCCTAGTAGTTATCATTTACGGATTTCAAATCACGCCTGGAAAAAAGTACTCCAACATCGCCAGAGGTGTTGTAATATTTTCTTTAACTTTCATCCTGCACGAAACTTTCCATGAACATGGAACATATCATTCTTACAAATTGTGGGGAATTTTTATTTTTTGGAGGGAAAATGACGTCACAAACTTGGCGCCAAAAATTTAAATATTATCGATTGTCAATATCGTGTTTGTTTTGGAGAGCATAGGAATCTAAAAACTGAAGTCTGTTTCGAAATACGACCATTCACTGCAAAGATATAGGCCGTGGGCCGTACGTTGGCCAAAATTATTTCGCTTCGTGGCACCCATGTGGGAACTACTTGGTTTGTGGTTTATTTGAAAGGCATATGGATACATTAATTACTACCAAAAAAAGTTCCCAAGCAAAAACTTGCCCAATACCGAGAAAATGGGTGATCAATGATTATCCTCAATTAATTACTATTGTATTACAGCAAAGAAATGAGAAATTTTGTATTCAATTACAATAAAAATGCCTTGCATCATCGGAAAATGTAAAAAAAAAACTGCATACAAGACTTTTAAACAGTTTTTTTATTCTTCAAATAGTCTTTGAATTTGAATTTATTCTTCAAATAGTTATTGCTGTTTTAAATGTGAAACAGTGGACCAAAATGTCGCAATAAGGACTGAGTACTAGGTAAAAAACCCCTTTTTTGACAGCGTATAACTCGAAAACAATTTCACAGATATAAAAAGCTGTTTAAATGCCTTATATGTATGTTTTGTAAGCTTTCTGATGGTGCAAGTAATTTTTGTTGTAATTGAATACAAATTTTCACATTTTCTTGCTGTCAATACAATTTAATAGAGGATACTCGTTGATCACCCATTTTCTCGGTATTGGCATGTTTTTGCTTGGTAAGTTTTCTTTTGGTAATTGAGCATCTATGGTACTATGTATTGAACCACAGAAAATTATTCCCCCGGGGGTGCCACGAAATTGCTTTTCTATGCACTTTTTCGCACGACGGCCCACGGCCTAATAATAGAATGATTCAAAAGTAAACTAAAATCCACCATTTTGTTACTAAAAATGAACAAAATGGCGATTTTTCTATCCTTGCTGACTTATCGCTATTGAGAAAATTTTCTGCTGTAGATTCATATTTAACTGATTTGAATTATTGATTTACACTGTATTGTCTTTTGTTTTATATGACTTAGGGACTATTTACGTAATCCCTGTTTGCATTCCAAGACGGAATGAATTCGAATGTGTGATTAATTTAGACCCCGTTTACACTAGAGCGAAAGATTCCGGATTCATCACAAAACCGAAACGTTCTGGCATAGGATTCATACATGCATTTACACATACAGCGACGAATCCGGTGGAAAATCATCTCGGTTGTAGGACGTATCCGAAAACCTTGAATCCGGGAAAAAAGTAGAAACTTTGTATCCGGAAACATTTTAATCCGACTATCCGAGACAATTTAAAAATTAAACGAAACTTACCTTAAGTTGAAGTTTGATTGTAATTCTACTCATCATCAGCTGGAACGAAGGAGTAACATGAGAAGCATGCGCATTGCTTGTCAGTCAGTATTTAACGCGAATGATTGCCGAAGAGCAAGGAACGAAGGAGTGCGGTGGGCCTGCCAAGAATAGAGGTGGGCATGTTACTCCTTCGTTCCAGCTGATGATGAGTAGAATTACAATCAAACTTCAACTTAAGGTAAGTTTCGTTTAATTTTTAAATTCATCATCAGCTACGTCACTACGGAGTACCATGAGATTTTCATATTAATATAACAAACTGAAACAGTTTTAATGAAATAAGCGTTCAATGCCAAGGTTCAGTATTAACTTATTAACTGTAAACAATGTTTCAACAAATGTGAAGTTCTAAACTTGATCTCGTTCAGCATCTGCTGCAAACGCCTGCATAATATTAGTTCCCAGCGTGTCTGTCACAATTGGTTTTTGATAATATGAAGCGAAAGTCTGAGCGTTGGACCAGCTCGCTGCTTCAAGAATTTCGGTAAGTCTAGCTCCCTTCGCGAATCCATATGATGTTGCAGCCGCTCTGCTACTGTGCGAAGAATATATATTTGTGTCTATTCCCGCATCTCTGAGTACTTCCTTGATCCAACGCGCTACCGTATCTTTCGATATCGGATTGTGTGGTTTTATGAAACTGATCAACAATTGTGAGTTGTCTGTTCGTATTGATGTCGTCCGATGAATGTATTCGTCTAAATGTCGAACAACACACAGGTCCCTGTCTGCATAGCTGATAGCTCGAGAGTTCTATTGGTTTTTGATGAGTTCCTGGCTTGGTGTGTTTGAGCTTTTCCCCAATGGTGAATATGTATTTTCCTGGCAACTTCTGCATAAGTTGTATGTTAAGTTTGTGAATAGTTTGACAACGTTGTCCAGTTAGGAGAGCCAGTAGCATTACTAATTTATAGGAAAGCTGCTTCAGAGAAAGTTCCGAGTTCAGAGTTAGTGACCTTACGTAAGTTAGGACCTGTCCAACATCCCATATTTTCTTATATTTTGGCAATGCTGGCTTAATTTCAAATACGCCTTTCAAAAACCGGCATACTAGTCGGTTTTCTCAAATGACGTCCCGTCTTTAGGTGTTAGTATCACAGATAACGCTGACCTTGCTGTATTTATAGCACTGTAGCTCAATTTCTGTTCAAATAAATTTGCCAGGAAATCTATGCCCTGCTCAACCGTAGCATTGGACCAATTAATGTTTCTCTCAGCACAAAACTGTTCCCACCTAGTAAGATATGTGCGGTATTGTTTCTTGGTACTTTCGCGCCAAGACGCCATAATGACGTCTTTTGCTGTAGCTGAAATTTTATGTCGTTCTAGGTTTGTCCTGATAATAGACAAACTAGAAGTCGCAAGTTCTTGCCCAGAGGGTGTGTTTCCCCTGGTGAGTTTGGTAGTATTAGTCTGTCCTGTTTCGGTATGAGTAATACTGGCTTCCCTATGCACATGTTCATGGCCTTGGGATACCAGGCACGTGTGGGCCAATCTGGTAGAACACAAACACCCATGGCCTGGTCCTCTACAATTTTTCGTAAAACTGCTGGAACAACACTAAACGGGGAAAACATGTAAAATTTTAGATTTCCCCATTGTATCGTAAAGGCATCTATTATTTCGGCCTCTGGGTCAGGTCTAAATGATGCATACCGCACAAACTGTTTGTTGATTCTGGATGCAAAAAGGTCAATTACTGGAGTGAATTGTAATTGGGTCAAAGATTTTTGCAAATCAGTAGGATTAAGCATCCACTCGGCTCCGGAATTGATTTTTCTAGATTCCATGTCTGCTTGTACATTCATTTTTCCAGGAATGTGTGCAGCTGAAATCCAGATAGAGCGGGCAAGGCACCACTCCCAAATATCCTTACCTATGGTATTACAAATGTCGGAGTGACATGTACCCATATGGTTAATGGTGGATACTGCAGTTGTGTTATCAGTCATAATTCTTATATGAATATTGTTAGCATTTTTGGCATAGCATTTCAGCCCAAAAAACACAGCTAATAATTCTAGAGCATTGATATTGTTAGTTTTTTCTGCTGTTGACCATGAACCTCCAGTGGATTCATTTTCAAATACTGCACCCCATCCTGTGAGTGAAGCATCAGTGGTTAGTACTTTGTCTGGGTTCCCATGTGAAATTAAGTTATAGCTTACTTGAGCATTTCTAACCCACCAATTCAATTCTTTTTTAGCACCATCACTTAATGTCATGTACGCATCAAAATTACCAGCGTTTTGTCTTAATGCCCGAGTCTTATCGAGTTCGATGTTTCTATGGTATAATGCCCCATACATGACCCCTGGCAGGCTAGAAATAATTTTCCCCACTACTTGCGCCACTGCACGTATTTTGACCCTGTCTAAATCCACAAGTGCTTTGCAGTGTTCTGCAATGGCAGTGGCCTTTTCTTCAGTCAGAGAAATTGTCATCTTGACTGAGTCTAATCGAAACCCTAGAATGATCAGTGTTTGACTAGGTTCAAAAACTGACTTGCTGGGGTGACTTATAAACCCTAGGGAGTCAAATTGTTCTACAGTATCAAGCACATTATTTTTGCATTTGTGAAATGTTTGACCTTGTAGGTATAGGTCATCTATATAATTGCTTGAAATATGCCCTTTCTTGTGAAGGGCTGTGAGGGGAGGTTTCAAGATTTTGGTAAACAACCTTGGACAACAAGACAGTCCATTTGGCATGCTGGTAAATTGGTAAAGGTTCTGATTCCACAAAAATTTTAGATATTTCCTATGACCTTTGTGCACTGGGATTGTATAGTATGCATCCTTTAGGTCAACTGAGGCCATAAAGCAATTTTTTGTCATAAGATTTGTAATTGTTTGTAGTGTGTCCATTTTAAAATGGATATAGGTCACAGACTTGTTGAACTCTTTCAAGTTCAGAATGAGTCTGAATTGTCCATCTTTTTTCTGTCTGACAAAAATAGGAGAGATTATCTCCCCTGGTTCATGTGACGCTATTTCAATTACTTCCCTAGCAAGTAGTCTGTCGATTTCAGTATTTATAGCCAGTGTCTCAATGTGACTAAATTTTGGGTTAGGATTAACCCTACCTTGGTGTGGTAGTTCATCGAGGGGTATTGTAATACCTCTGATAGAGTTAAGTATTATTTTGTCTGAGGTCAGATTTTTCCATGCTGTAAACCTCTGAGCAGTCCTGCCTGCTTTGAAATCTATACATTTTTGTTCAAGATATTGGATCAAAAAGGAAAAATCGAAATAACTGCAACTTACATTCTCTTTAAGTGTTTGTATTTTCTCAGCTAAACTCACTTCCTTTGCTGGTTCTGGGACCCGTTGCCTCTCGTGCCGGGTCGCCTGCGATATGGTTTTTGGCCTCTCCATAAAAAAGGCCTCGTAGATGTATTTCTACCACGGTTATCACCCGTGTATGAGTTATTAATATCCTCACGGCTTTAGGTGTGAGTATTGCGTCTACTCGTATTTGCTGTGCTAGTATTGCGAGCTGTTCTTGGCAACGTCAGTGTGCTTGCAATGCTGTTTATTTCCTTTGAGTCGCGAACCAGTTTCGCCAAATCATCGCCAAATAAGAATTTTGAGTTTGGCGGAACAGTTGCATGGCTCGACTCCTGTCGCATGGACATTACATCAGCATTCATATGCCCCAACATTGCAATGAGGTTCACTGCGATGCGAAGTAATGCCTCGCGGTCATTGCCTTTCTTGTTCTCGGTCAATGCCGAAGGTTGATTTTTGGCGCTTAAAGTTTCCGCCATTTGAAGCGTGGCAAAAACTGCTTTTTGGACATTTTGTTGCATTCTTGACAGTCTAAGATCTGTTTTCTTTTTGTGTTGGCTGATTTGAGACCAAATTTCTGGATTAATGCGGCTAACTCGCATAGCTTCACAGTTTAGCGGTTGTTTGTATTTCTCGTTTATTTCCTTGATTTTGTCAGGACTTAATTTTTCAGTCCAGCGATTAATAGCTATAGTTGCTAGTTTTTCCCCCACTGCGGACCCTAGACTTTTGTCTTCACTGAACTGTTGTTCCAGTTCTTGAAGCAAATCGTCGTCGGGTCATTCAGTAACTGCCTTACCTCGTCATCACTGGCCGTTACGCTAAGACTGTCCTCATTTTCATGAGCTGAGCGACGGCGTTTTGCCGTGTGTTCATCTCGCTCCGACTCAGAGGAGTATTGATCCTCTTGTTGTCGTTTTTTGGCCTTTGCAGTTTTCCCGCCAGAATCGACGTGCTGCCATATTTGGCCCAATGTTGCAGCCATGTTGGCCATATTTTCGTTCATTGTGGCCAAAGTTTTAGCGAATTGTTCATTAGAAACATCGCTGTTCATGCTCTGTGAGCTTGTATGTTGTCCATGCAGGGCAGATTGTTCGTCCTGTGGACTAGCGTTGGGCTCATCGTCGTCAAAGGCTTCCTCTTGTTGACGATGGCTATGTTGTTCATCTCTTCCGGCATCCATATTTTGGTCGTTCTTACTTGTTTCGAACAAACCTGCTATAAATATGGAAAAAAGAGTCAAGGAATTGCAAATTATTGAAATTAGGGAGCGCTACTTACGGTTTGAGTGTGTCTCCCACTGAATATTTATATATTTTCTTCAGAGCTCTTCAGAACACGTTCGCCGGTCGACAAAGCAAACCATGCACTGACTGACAAGCAATGCGCATGCTTCTCATGGTACTCCGTAGTGACGTAGCTGATGATGAGATAGAATTATATGTGTAAATGGTTCTAAACAGAAATTTGAATTAATCCGCAACCTTTTTTCGCCCGCGAAAATACGAGTTTGCGGTTTTACCATAGAACCAACATGGCGAACGTTATTGTTTTGTTGTCTTTGGTTTGTTATTTAATTCTATTACAAGGAAGTATTGTAAATTTTGTAATGGCCACGGGTATATTTTTAAGAAGGCGAAAGTTATTGCAGAATGCTATTTTAATTTCTGCAAAACTGGTACGAAAACGAAGAAAGTAGCAAAACCGAAGACCTCGGGCTCGACGATTTTGGGTAAAACCAGGGAGAACATCTTCTTGGTGGGACAATATGCTAAACGGTGTTTGTCTAGACTGCGATTGGAAAGATAACTTTCGGATGTCGCGTTGTAACTTCGAAAAACTCTGCTGAAAGACGCACAACAAGAATGAGAAAATTCCGATTGTGTGTAAACGGACGAATCGATAACTTTCTTGTTACCGCTTTAGTGTAAACGCCACAAATCCGAAAACTCAAATTCCAATCAAATCCGGAAACTTTTGCGAATCCGAAATCTTTCGCTCTAGTGTAAACGGGGTCTTAAAGTATTCAAAGAAGTCACTATAGGCTTGAAGGAAAGTTTCAACGCCGGTCAAAGCCCAAAGGCCTAAATATAATGTTGTCTAGAAGAGCTCGTAGCAGTTCAAGAAGATTGTTTTCGTACAAATCTTTTAATTACTTTTACCATTCACATGACTGCATCGAATGTAGTTTTAATTTTTGTAGTAACAAAAATGTAGTTTTAATTAAGAATTAAAAATACAATGTTTGTTTTTATACAATTGCCGTCTGGCGACGGTAATGCAACTGATGGCGATAATTGGTAAAATCGCTGCATTGCCGCCGCGAGAGAGAAATTGCTTGGGTATCGTGCTCGGAGACGGCAACGCAAAGCTTCGCGCAATCATTAATTGCCGAAGATTGGCGGAGGTACGGTAAAGCAGGTCAAGGCCGGCCAATGAAAAGCGTTATGAAGACGTAAATTGCAGGTGAAATATTGCAGGTGTAGCCACCTTGTGCGACGGCAATACTGTTATCAACCACGTACTGCGTAACCATCGCAACAAAATTATTGCTACTGAGCCAGCTCTCTTTCGTTAAAATAACACTTTTGGGAAACATCAAGTTGTTTGAATGGAAAGAGGTTGCTGCATGCAAGTATTCCTGGTATATATATCTATATTCATTCACATATAACACTATATACAATGCTGAAATGGATCGGAACAGAAATGCATGCATGCATGTCCGCGTAATCAATTAGTTTAATTAACAAAAAGTGCAATGCTCACAATTAACTTTATTATCAATCTATCAAGTAATCAAGACTCGCAACATACAGAACAAGAATATTTGACTATACTTTAGGTACTGGTTACATATGCATTAGTTAGTATACTGAATATCAACTACCACGCTAACATTTAGTTTGTTTTGTTTTTCGTTTCCATTGACACTTTTCCGTTTTCCATTGCTTTTAGATTATTATCCACTGTCCACTATTATCCATTGTTATCCACACGATGAACGCTTTTTCCGTTTACCGAGATTCTTCATGTTGTCAGTAGCATCATGGCAATTCCCGCCACGTAACTTGTAATCTTTCCCTCCAGCCTTTACGAATGCACCAACATATTTTCCGTTACCGCTTGTACTTTTGCCGACATTTTTCCATGATTCTCCCATGTGTTTTGCGTCAACCACAACTGTCTGGCTTGATTTCCAAAATTCATCCCCTTTGTGTACCAAATACCGTCCGCCATCTTTCGTTCTTACGACTATACGCCAGAGTGCGTGGCACGACTTTTTTTGGCCGGAAATTGACGTTTTCACCCCGAGCTTGTTTGCAATTCCCACAGCAGTTTTACCGATTTTCCCGTTATTGAGTCCTGCTAATGGTCTTTCTACCGGCTGAACGTTCACGACTTTCTGGTTGTAAAGCTTTGTGAGCCCGCTTTTCGTCTTTATGTCATGAGGGAAACTCTTTTTACTGCTGTCAAAATACAAAAAACAAGTGTTGTACCCAGATACAGGTACCGATAAGATACAAGGGCATCAATCATTAGAGGCCGCTCCACCCACTCCCCCCTCCCCAGTTCATCATTTGTGAATATAGTCTATATATAATGAAGAAGATCTGTTTGTCAGATTGGGACCCCCCCCCACCCCACAATCCGTTAAAGCTCTATTTGCCGAGTTTTCACTGTCATTTTCGCTCGCTTTTAGATCAATGGCGGAATGGGCCATGGCCACAAAACACCGATCTGGTTTCATATCTCCGGAAGCATGTACTATGTGGACGTCGTTTTATTTCCTCGTAATAACTGGTTAGACTTGGATCAAGTCCGTCTCTCTAGAGTCCGAGGGAGAGCGCGAGGTGCAATAATGCGGGAAAGTTTGAGGGAGAAGACGTCTCTCCCTCCTTTCTTGCGCCTCGACTAGCAAAATCAAATATCGCGGGGAGATTTCCAGCAATTTTGCATGTTGGCCTGCGTGGAACAAATTAGCGGCCTGCATGTGGAGGAGCTCAGAGTAGAGTAGCATCACCTAAAGTTGAATCAGTTACATAAGTTCTGACCAGGGGCGTAGGAAGCATCAAAAGATTGGGGGGGGGCACCGGCTTCTAGGAGCATTTTAGGGTATTGAAAAGGGCATCTAAAAAATTTTTCCCGGAAATGTTGGCGACGGGGGGGGGGAAGAAGAAAAATTTTCCCGTCGTACCATACCGAAATTACACGTTTTTGACCAAATTGTTTTAAAAAACTTCGAAATTTCCAAACAAAAAGGGCACCTTTGATGTTAATTTAGTATTTACAGCGACATTAGCTTGCACAAAAAGGGCACTTTTCATTACAAAAAAAGGCACTTTTCATCACAAAAAAGGGCACTTTTAGTCCTTTGAAAAAATTGGGGGGGGGGGGCACGTGCCCCCCGTGCCACCCCCCGGTTCCTACGCCCCTGGTTCTGACACAACAATCACCGCTCCAAATAAATTTGTGATATTCATTTTACCAAATTTAACAAGCACAATCTACATTCATTCATGGAAATATGTCTGGCAACTCTTTATTACGTAACACAAATTAAAAATAAAACTTGTTTAAAACCTTGATGAAGTGCGACGAGAACTTGAACGTCGTCCACTAAACGATCCTCCGCTCCTGAAATAAAATTATTTCGACAGTTAGTTATAAATGAGTCAGATATTACTGACGGCAAAACAAAAGTAATTTCTGCCAGGAGCATTATTATTAATGTACAATCCGGTTCTTGGTAACAATTACAATTAAACGTCGATTGCGGCTGTTTAAAATTAGAATTGTAAACATGCAAAAATATGTAGGTGCGGTCATAGATGTCTGTGGGAGTGGCGACGATATGAATTTTTGATGCGATTCCACACTTCGGTGAGTTCCGTAATATATGACATCAATGTCAGCTTAGAGTTCTTTCACCAATCTTTTTGTATTTTTAGTTATATATCTTTATCATAGTCTACGTTTTTTATACATCTTATAATTAATCAGGTTTTGAACTATAATAAGGTGTTTAATTCTAAACAAAGTAAAACTGAGTACCAGGACAGTTCTTATTGGAAAGTAATAACCTGTTGCCCAGTTCTGAGGGCCCCCTATACTTTTTGCGTGAAGCGTGAAGGGCTTATTTTACTTAGCCGTGAAACGTGATCGGGCCCCCTATAATTTTTGCGTGAAGCGTGAAGGGCTTATTTTACTTAGCCGTGAAACGTGATCGATGATTTTCTTAATCCGTGACTCGTGAAAATGCAAAATATTTTTACGTGAAAGCATATTATGAAGAAAGCATATTATGAAAGCATATTATAATAGGGGGCCCTCAGTTCTCATATGAGAATAGGAACCTGGCAACACTACGTGCAATATGCGGTTTGTCCATTGTGTGCAGTGTTCACTCTACACTGTAGACGAAGACAGTCATTAAAGCAGACATGCAAGTTTATATACCTAGAAGAGGAAGTGGGACTTGTGCTAGAACGCGAACGTCTTCCACCAAACCAACCTCCTCCACTCCTTAAAAAAGATTAATTAAACAAAAATTGAATATCAATCGCAGGAACTAGAAGCTCTTACAGTAACCAGAAAGGGTCTCCTTTTATAACAAAGAACCCAGTACTTAACTCAATGGTTTGCACTCTTTCTTTCATGGTAGCATGCAAATGGCAAAAAATGTCTTAGTTGTGTATAATATGCCCTTTTATGATTCAATTCATTTCAACCTGTTTCAGTCTCGTGCAGACTCTTTCTTTCAATTCATACTTTTTCCACTATCTTTCGTGATATCTAATATCTATAGCCGTCGATATTTAAATTAAATATGTCAAATTATAATAATCTATGAGCTGTGTAACTTTATTAATATCATTTTAGTCCATTTACTCGATTCTGATTGCTTAAAAACCGTGCCGATTAGACATGGTGTGCGTATTAAAGATTAATCGGGACGGATACAAGCCCGCATGGATCATGCGTTCATGCATAATTAAACAAAATGTCAAAGGCCTTACGGGATTTTGCCTTGCCCTTGGTCCATATTTTCGTACCATTCATCAAACATTTGTATCAGCGCAGACAATGTCGAATTCTTAGGACGAAATCCTGCTTAATATTTCGATAGCAGCGAATTGTCGTTAAGCTAGAAATTTATATATCCATTCTTCAACAAAAATTCCTTAGTTATTAATGGACCTATTGGGGCCACAGATATTTTCTATTCCACAATGCAAATTATGCACGAGAACCAGCCCATGAGCCCAAGCAGGCTTTATTTTGACAAGCAACAGGCAGTAGAAAATTTCTTACTCGCAGGTCCACATTTAAAACTAGCTACTGGTTGTTAAGACAATAAAATTGTTGAAAACTAGCGCTGAATAAAACGTATACAGTATAGTACCTGCGTGCTGTGCTCGATGAATGACCTCTACTTCTGCTACTGCTACCGCGTCTCCCAAACCATTCTTCAGAGTCGACGATCAAGCAGATTGCAATAAGCAAGAGAGCTACAATCAGGCAGGTATATCATGCACTGAATATTCAGAGCGCGCAATACTTGGATTTTATATAACCTTATGTTAACAGCGTGTGGTTTGACGCAAAGCAGTGGTGATGAGATTTTCTGAAAGGATCGGAATGAGCTGAAGCTGACTGAGCGAGCTGAATGAGGAAGTTCTTTCTAGGTCAGTTGCGACGAGTTCCTGTGCACGTGTTGTGACCTTGATCATAGACATAGTTACGGTGGTCCGTTAGGGACACAGTTCTTCCGTAGAAAATGACACTCGTTCTGTACAAATGAAGTGGTCTTCCTTAGAAATTAAACTCTTCTGTATAAATTTGATCATTTTCAGTGGAAATGTACACCTTTTCCGTAGAAATATGTACCTCTTCCGTAAATATGTAATTGTTAGGAAATTCGAATGAAAGGTTAATTAAAAAGAAACAATGCTAGCTTGCTCAGAAAACCACGATAAAATTAGTCAAGTCGGATGAATATGCTTACATATAAGCCTGTAAAATATAAACTATATATAAACCAGCATGCAAAGGTGGTGTTTCTAGACTCGATCCTGGAAAACAATCGTCTGATTGTTTTGATGAGTGAATTTGCATATATGTATACTTCCGGTATGCCGCATAACAGTCACATTACAGACTGAAATATATACCGAAATAAAAGATTAACAACTGAAGATACAAGCTCGAAAATAGCACTCTAATACTGATTCCAACAATACTATTACAAAGAAGATACATGCATCCTAAAGTTTGACACATTCTTTCAAATAAAGGAGTTGATATCATGTGGAACAAATTAGAAACAAATCTGAAAGACATAAGTTTCTATAATACCTTCAAGAAACTGATTAAGCAACACTTTATACTAAATCCAGTTACAAATACATAGGTTCAGAAATCACACTTTCTTTATATGCAGACAATGTCCATGCATTGTGCAAACCATACCACATAAAAATCTAACTAGTATATCTCTTTATCTTATTAATATTGTAAACACTCAGTATTTACCCTTCATACCTCAAATTTGTAAATATCTTGTATATCACCTTATAAAATTTTTCTTCTGCATTTAATATTATCTTAAAAATTACTGTAAATAATAAAATAATCTAAATAGGACATGACTAGTGGCCTAGAAACAAAAGCCTGCAAATGTTTCTAGTAGGTCTCTAGGCCAAATAGTTATTTTGTAATAATGTATTAATAATTGTAATGTACATGGGAAAATAAAATTTAAAAAAAAGCCCCGAAGCTATAGTCGGCAAAATGTGTGCACGAGAATCCGCACAGCCGAAAAAAGGTGTCAACTGCACAAAACATATATGGGCACTCCCAATAAAATTCATTAAACTCTGGTCTCCATGTGGCTATAACTGTCGCAAAACTGTTACCAAGCTGTAGTTTTTCTGTTTCCATTAAAACTGTAAAAGATAACCGTTACCAGACGGTTTTAATCTGTCGCAACTATCTCGACTACACTGTTGTAACTGTCGTGAACTGTTGCCAGCGTACGTGTCGCGACAAGACTTTTCTTGAAAATTAAAATAACACAGATGCTTGCTTTAGTATTTGAATTCAAACCTGCGTCACTAGTACTAGTATCACTTAAAGTCTTATAGTTATACATTAGTTAGTACGTAATTACGTAATATAAGATTTACTGAAGACTCTAACTCCGAGACGCCAGTTAGAACTTGCGCGGAAAGATCTATATAGCTACCATAAAATGATCCCAAATATCCAATATTGGCAATATTGAAACAATAACACTAATTTATTATACATGATAGAACGTGTTGTATCATAAAGATTTAGGTTCAACTGATTAAGCAAAGATGACTATACATCTTCTTAACCTCGGCCAGCAAAAGATGACTGCATGACTGCATCTGCCTCCTCCCTAGACTGCATCTTTCAGACACAAGTGTTTCCGCTAAAATTGTTAATTCTTTATAATACAAACACACGGACTTGTTTTAGCATTTACAAACTAGATTTATAAATATCATGTTTCGCTCGCTGCTCCCAGTCGAATTGTAATCAAGACCCAACGTTTCGACACTCCAGTCTAGTGTCTTCATCAGGGGTGATCTAAATTTGCAATCGTGGCTTCTTAAATACCCAAGGGATGACGTCACCTGCCAATGAGATGCATGTGTATTCCTCTGGCAAATAGGCACCGTCATCCCTATTCGAAGCATGATTACTCATATTTATATGTCACGCTTCTAGGCACTGTAGGTAGGGCCACAGAGAACACTAACCAATTACATTACAGAACAAAAATAGAAATCTAATCAAACTAAAGCTCGCCCAATCAACAGAAAACATGGAGTTATGCCAAATAACTGCAGTGTTTACTTTTCAAGTCTATTTTTACTGTTTGACATTCGTTTATTTGTAAAAATTGTTTTTGGCCTAATGCAGTGATTAGCCAATGCGCCGTTTAATTGTTGATTTTCTCTATTTCTATTCTGCATTGTGATTGGTTAGCTATAGTGTTCTCTAAGTGGTCCCGCTTACTGTAGATGCACTGTAATTGCCCCGCGAAATTCACGTCAATTAAGTGCAAAATTGCGATTTTTATCTTCGTTTTCATGTTCTTGCCCCCTGCCCCCTCCCCCCGTAAACAATGTTGAGAAAAAATTGTTCGAGATGGAGGGAGGAACTTGTTGCGTTGTTGTCTCAAAAGTTTTTCCACTTGATTGTAGGAGCCTATATATATATAGCAGAGTGTCAGATGAACATAACCGGAACGCTACCTCCACCGGAAATTTGAAGCTAAACTTGAAGGCCAGTCCCAGTCTTTTCACGCATGCGAAGAGCACGTGTCAATCACGTCAACATGCCGATATGTATTCTTGTAAACCGGCTTAAAATTTACAAAAACGTTGATATTATTTATTATTTATTATTGCATTTAATAGTCAGATAAAACTTTCTAGTGTCGACTTTACTTTTAGTGTTTTCTTTTTAAAACGGCATGCTTATAGTGTTCAGCGAACTCAGTCTCGCGTGAGAATCGTGAAGCACAAATACGCGGGAGTCTTGACATCCAGCCACGCGTGTCTGCCGGGGCAGTCACGGTCAGATTTGGAACTGAGATAGGTAGTTTATCGGAATGTAGCGTTCCAGTCAGAGGCGTAGCCTTGGCGGGGCCCGCCCCATGGTAAAATGTCACCCCCCCC